CCAAGGATTGTTGTCGCTCCGTCTCCACGTTTTGTTCTCCTTCATCTCTGCTCGCATCTTGTTGCGAGTAGGGAGCTGGTGATCTGTTTGTTGCGATCGTACAAGCGGGATCCCTTTTTCAGCCCAGAACCAATGTTTCAGTTGCCATATTATCTCTCCACGCACAGTTGTCATCATTCTGTTACACTCCCCTATGACTGCTTGAATCCCGCACTCCACTACGTGTGATCGCAGTCCTTCTTCGGCGTTCTCGCCTATCAGTTTGGTCGTTGTTTGCAGCGCCGTGAAAAATTCATCCTCTGTTGGGTACAGAGTTGCGTCCTTTGCTGCTGAGAACACAAAGGTTTTTGCGACCGTCCGGAACAGTCTATCCTTCATTTTTTTCCAGAATACGTCGCTTTCTTGATTGCCTTGTTGTTGTCCTCCCCTGCTCGCGCACACTTTTCTTTGCGAGTTCGTGCCATCTGCTGGAAGACACACATTACAACGCATAGAATAATATTAAGAACTCGGCATTTCGCACCTGCCAACTTCGACAGCCCGTTTCAACTGTAAGTTCATCACAGCGACATCCTCGCAATAAGGAAATGTCATCACTTTGCGCCGTCACCACGTAATCGTTGTGCAAGAGGAGCAACTTCAACACATTTTGTTTACTTTTTTTAACTGCGTTGTCGTGCCTCACTAGTTGTCTATCAATGGAGGGCGCGTCGGTTGCGCCTCCCTCACCGCCACTTTCGGGTTCCCTCGTGCGTCGCGTTCTTCCCGGAGATGGGGAACTCCCTCTTTCGTCCGCACTTCTGTCGTCTTCGCCTGCCCCGTCACCGCCCTCGTCCTGCGCTGTGCCGTCGCTGCTCCTGCCATCCTCGTCATCCCCGTCGTGAGTGTCGCGAGAATGTCCGTCGGAAGTTTGACTGTCACCTTCCTCGTCACTTGTTGCCTCGTTCTTCTCCCCGTCAGACTTTTCTGATATGGACTGGTCGTGTTCCTCTTCTGCTTCCTCTCGGGCCGCGCTGTGCATATCGTCCGAGGCTCTAAGATTGATCACCTCCACCATTCTTTCCTTTTCGTACGTGATTCTCTTCTTTGTCCTGCGGTGCACCTTTGACATTCTGTCTTCCCACGATCTCTTCTCGGGGGATTGGGTGGACGGTTCTCGACGCCGTTGGCACGGTTCCGTGGGGCAGGAGTCGCAGGGGGTGACTCATTGTGTTCTTTAAGCTTTGAAATCCCCCTCTGACTTGATGGGAGAAAAACTTTTGATCCGTTTTTGCGGCTGCTGGTCCGCTTCGTTTTTGCATTCCGGGATCCGCTTCTGCGATGCTCTCTCCTTTTTTTTTTCTTATCAGCCTTGCATTTCTTCCTCCCCTTGTCCTTCTTTCCCACGGCCTTCAAATACCTGCACAGATCCTCGTATTTTGGCTTTGGAGCTATGACCTTTTTTTCCCCACATACATCAAAATGGAATATGAACAACAACTGCATCAGCAATGTCGTGCGTCGATCCATACACCCCTGAAGTGTAATGGCCGCATTGAGAGAAAGAGAGAGAGAGAAAGAGAGGCACAACCAAGATCTTATTGTTGATACTGCGACGTCATTTAAGTTACCAACCTCTTTGTGCGTCAGAATGACTGTATCTGTATTGTCAAGCGGCACGGGTTCGCATAGTCACAATAACAAAAAAAAAAAAAAACGAAAAAAAACTTGGAACATGTCCCCGGCCATCATCATGAGAAGGTTGGCTACCGCGGGCCAATCAACTGGTGAAGCCACCGGTCTTTATGTAACAAATGCCTTGCATAGTCCTTTGACGACCTCAACAGTGAAACCAACGGTCAATTCGTCGTCATCATTAATATCAGTCTACTCTTCTCTCGTTCTCGTCATGTCCCCGACTTTCACTTTTACCTTTATGCTTCGATTATCAACTGGGGAGACTTTGCTTCGCCCTCTGTCATTATATCGTACATTTTTTAGTACCAAGGGTTTCTCAACATTTTCTGCCACCGCTTTGCTGACCTCTCACTGGTCAATGGCAACAACGGTTCGCTTGCCACCTCTCTACGGTGCTGTTCGTCTTTATTTTCCATCCTTGGACCGATGACCGGTTCCGTACCCACATATGAGCACTTCGCGTCGCCACCACACGTGTTACTTTTTTGTGACTCTGTCATCCTCGCTCGGCTTCTCTTACCTGCACCCTGTTATTCAGTGTTCTGTGTCACTCCTTCCCGAACGTTGCGCGACGTCGTAAGTTTCTGTTCCTGTTCACACATGTCGGTCAAATTGGAATGACACAGACGATTTGTTAACAACTTCAAATCGTTTTTGTAGGATACTTCGGGGAGAGAGAGAGAGAGAGAGAGAGAGAGGGGTTGGGTACTGCGTGCCAAAACTGAAACGACTATCACTGTTGACCACGTAAATGTCACGCAGTAGTGAACTTTTGG